TGTTCAGGTGGAATGTTAATGGCTTGTTAAGTGTCTTAACACCTGGTTAATGGTGTAGTAACACCTGGTTAATGGTGTAGTAACACCAGAAACGTTTTTGGCTCTTTATCTTTGCATTAAGTGGCAGATATGACTGTTGGTTTCCCTCAACTTGTGGAAGTCCTATAAATAGGACATAGAGCTGCAGAGAAAAATACACACATCATTTTCTTGCATTCAGAACTCTCTCAAAGCCTCACGCATCATATCATAGTGCTCGGTTCTCGACTTCATTCTTGTTCGACTGGACTCTGAAGGCTGGTGTGCTACAGCTTCCGAGTGTTAAAGCCGTTGTATCTTTGGGGGCATTACGCACTAACCCGTCAGCACTACACGGGGCGTATTTGTCTTGCGGATAGATTTCAATCGCCTCGGCTCAAATCTCTCCGCGTTCGAGTTGTAATTTCAATTTTTGTTTTAGTTCTTTTGTACGAACTGAACACTTAAGTCAGTTCATAGGTTCCCGTTGTAATACAAAACACACATTGTGTAACAGTCGGTTCCCCTGTGAATCAGGAAACCGGAAGGTGCTTGTACCAAAAAAAAAAAGAATAACATAAAAAAATTATAATACACATATTTGATAGAATAGATATGAGCTGCGTTACTTGTTTTTCTGGGCGGAATAAATGTGTCATGACCCATAAGACACTAAAAAAAACTCATCTAAGTGACAGCAAAATATTTCCAATTTCCTGTCGGAACATATCTCTTAGAGTCCCAACTAGGGTTGCAACCGAACCGACTTGCGAGCACTCGGGTCATTGATCGAATTGAGCTTGGTCAAACTCGAGGTTCGAGCTCGGGTAGTTCAATCAAACAAACGAGTCGAGCCCCGAGCATCATTTCTAGAGGTTCATAAGCTCGACGAGCCGCTTGACTTATTTTTAACATATGAAAGCCAGGATTGTCTGCATAAATTCAAAATCGTATTCTTATATATTTACAATTTAGTTGTTAAATTTCGAGCCAACCTCGAGCTATGTCGAGCATCGAGTCGATCTCGAACATTCTTAGTTTTTCACGAGTCAAGTCGAACACCATTTTATATGGCTCGCCATGCTCGACCTCGAGCATATAAGTAAAATTTAAAAAGTTCAATGCTGACAAAGTTCATGCTCGACTCGACTCGTTCGAAAACTGAAAGCGCCGCGTCATGCTAGGGTGTCCCGAATTTTGTATTGCATGTTGTTCATGGGCGTTGCCGTACATCATATAAATTGCTATATGAAATATAATAGCTAAATCAAATTTAAATTATTTAATTACGTGTCGAGATCTGATAAGTTTTATTTTATTTTTGTATATAGTATTCGATCATATAAATAACTCGTGAACAAATCAACTAATTGAGGTCAACTACGATTTGCTGCTTATCAATTGTAATATAATAATCAAGACCTAAATACAAAGCCGTTCAATTAATAAATCATTTAAAAAATTATGTCGATATTAATTAGTGTCCTGTTTGACACGAGATTAATAAAAACGAGCCTAAATAAGTGGGCAGAATATATCATAATTCATAAGTGCATGTTCAATGCTGCCAAATCCTAAGGTCAGAAGTCAACTATTTCAATTTTTTGAATACAATAATTAGCATAAATTAAAAACTAAATTGTCAAAAAGCAATGCGTTGCCCATCATGACATTGAATTGAGTTTTAATGGTAGTATGGGCTTCATCTAGATTGGGCTCTATCCAGATTGTCCTGCTTATATTTTGTACTCAACCCAATGTAAATGGATTGGGCAGCTGAATCTAAACTTCGTGTGAAACATTACATGGGCCCAAAATAAAGAATAACAAGCCTTTTAAGCAGAAACATCAGAATTTGATGTTTTAATATAAGGTGAAGTTTTGTAGTTCAACTTGTGCACATGAAGAGAAAATAGAATGGACCAAAGTGACCAAGAATATCTGATGGACGACTAAGGGTCTAAATGCTACAGCATAATCCCACTTAAATTTCACTTGTACAAATTTGCTTTAGGCCCAATTGCTATTTGTGAGGAATAATTTTTGGCATATTTTTTTTTTTTTTTTTTT